CCAGGTAACCCCCCGGGGCGTGCCTTTGTGGTTTATCCACTGCGTACGGCATCCTCTGCCGCCGCCGCCGCCGAGGAGCTCAAGAACGCTGTGGACCAGGCGACTGTGCTGGCAGCCAGGTTCGAGCCCCTCGGGGTACCGACTCGGCTGCTGCACGGGCGGATGAAGGCGGAGGAGAAGAACGCGGCGCTGGAGGTGAGGCGGAGGGGGAGGGGGAGGGGGAGGGGGAAGGGGGGAATTACGTGCAAGGAAAACAGAGGTGAATGTACTGCCGGAAGGGGTCCAAAGGTATAAGAAACTGCCCCCAGTGAGTGAGTGAGCCCTAAGTGGTGGTGAAGTCTCATCGACCCGTGGTACCATCAGGAAGTAAAGCCCAATATTACGTGACCGACGTTTTTTGTGTTGTAGTCGTCGTGTCTGGTCTCGTAAGATCGTCATTGACATCCAGCATCCGGCGCAGACTTCTTCTTCTTCAATCCCTCTCTTCCCCCTCCTCTCCCTCTTCCCTCCGCATTCCCTCCTCCCCCTCCCTCCTATCCCTCACTCGCTCTTTGTACACGTCTATGTACAACTACCGGGCCCCCCAAAAAAGCACTTCCCCCCGCCCCAAACAGGCCTTTCGAGGAGGTGATGTTCGTCTGCTTGTATGCACCACGGTGGTTGAGGTGGGGGTGGACGTACCGGAGGCGACCGTGGTGGTGGTGGAGCACGCGGAGCGGTTCGGCCTGGCGCAGCTGCACCAGCTCCGGGGGCGAGTGGGGAGAGGAGGCCGACGCGGCATGTGTTTTTTGTGCGTGCCATTCGGAGATCGGGCCGCACGAGAGCGGCTGGGGATCATGGAGCACACGAATGACGGTGAGGATGGGGGGAAGGGGGGAGTATATGTGTCTGTATGTATGTGGGGAAGGGGGGAGTATATGTGTCTGTATGTATGTGGGGAAGGGGGGAGTATATGTGTCTGTATGTATGTGGGGAAGGGGGGAAGTGGAGTGTATGTATTCATTACACAAACCTTGCCGGACCTGGCGATGCTGGCCAGCGGGGCTTCTGGAACAAGACCGCCGACAAGCACTCCCCCCCCAGGGGAAAGGGGAGGGTCGTATATGTATGTATGTATGTATGTATGTATGTATGTATGTATGTATGTATGTATGTATGTATGTATGTATGTATGTATGTATGTGTGTGGGAGGAGGGGAGGGAAGCGTTGGGGGAGGTGGCGGAGGTGACTGGTGAGTTTGGTTTCGGAGGCGATTTTGGGGGGCCCGGAGAGATGGCGTGTGGCTGGCGAGTTTTCTGTTGAGCCCCGCTTCCCCCAACCCATCGAGGAGGTTCGAGCTTTGTCGGTATGTATCGCGTTGCGTCGGTCGGCGAGCCGGGCTAGGATAGTTGGTTCGGTCGGGTCGGTCGCGCGATTCTTGGGAGGGTTGGGGGAGCACTTGCATATCACCAGCAGCTTGTTACCAGCTTATCCGCCAGTTTTACTCCAGCCTCTTCAATGCCGCCGCCAGGCCGGCGGCCTACTTGTTTACAGCTCATGTCACCCCTTTCCTCTTCTCACGCCAATTTTTATTGCTTCTTCGCCGCCTTTACACCAACCTTTGCTATTTTAAGGCTTCGCTCTACTTCGTTCTACTACTATTCTTCCGCTCTTATTTTAGTCTTGGCGGCTAGGTAGGTAGTTTTCCGATTTCGATCACCACATCATCCCGAGGACTGCTTCTTCACTGCCGCCGACTGGTCAGTTCTATTTCCTGTACATCTGCCGCAGCACTCTTTCCTCTTTCCTTAACAGCAGCTTCACTCGCTCGTGATTCGACTTTCCCCCCCTCATCCCCCGCCTCGGGATGGGGGGGAAGAGGGAGAGGGAGAGGGAGAGGGGGGAATGAAGATGCTTTCATTTAGGGGCATTCGTATTGGACGTGCACTAATTAATTAATTCGCGGTTACATTGGTTACAGACTGTCGTCCTCGTGGACCTCCTGTCCTTCTTCCTTTCCGTACTTTCCGTACTAAATCTTCTGCCTTCCCTTACCCCCCAAACCCCAAACCCCCCCTGGCTCCCGCGCGGCCAGGTTTTGAGGTGGCCGAGTGGGATTTGGAGCAGCGGGGTATGGGGCACCTATTCGGCTCCGGAACCAGGCAGCACGGCAGGATGGATGTGTCTGGGGTCACTGCGGCGGTGATTGAGGAGGTGGGGGCGCCGGCGGCGGGGGTGGCGCTTGTGGAGGCGGCGAGGCGGGCGGCGGCGGCGGTGGCCCGGGAGTGGGAGGAGGAGGGGGAGGAGGTCGGGGTGTCGGAGGGGAGGGAGATGGCGTTGAAGGCGATGGCGGTGTTTCGGCCGGAGCCGTTGACGGCGGCGGAGGCCTTGGCGGTGTGAGAGGCCTGGGCTGGAGCAGGGAGGGTAGTGACTTGGGCTTTTTTGTTGTTATTTTGTTATGATGTTATTGTTTCTGTTCTTATTATTGTTGATGCCTTCCGGAAAAGGCATTTATCTTGAGGAGGGCTTGAAAGCTGAGAATTAGCACTTACTACGCTTCAATGATTGGAGAAGCAGTGGAAAGAGGGCAAAGGTAGTTTACTTTTGATAATTGAATAAAGATGATAGGTAGTTCAATAGCCAAGCGCTGTGGTTGTTTGCTGCCAGGTATAGCGTACGGCCCAGCGGTAACCGACAGCAAGCGTGCAGCAGCACAATACAATCACGTCTTGCATGCGCCATTGTTGAGCTACGTTTCAGTATGCTGACATAGTTGGCGTTGGCACTCGTGTGAACGTCTGTGTAACAGGAAACAGCATCGGTCTGCTGCTGCGGCACGAAGCAGGCTTGCTGCTCTTTAAAGTATGACTTAGCCAAGGATATTGTTAACGATGAGTAATGTCCGATTATCCTGGCCTGCTTAGATTGGCTGCAGCTGAGGTTTTTGCCTGTGAAAACCGCAAGCGGTTATAGGCTTAAAGCGCAAAAATGCATGGCCAGCGAGTAGCCTACGAAAGCACACATCAGGCTACCTTTTGCAATCCTTATAATATAGGTGTGAACGCCATATTCCTTGTGTTGATCCCTTACACACTGGTCACCGCGCTGCATGACACGCACCTGGAGGTTTCGCTTATCCTCGGCACTGCATTTAGCGGCGCCAATCTACTCATTGGTATTATTGCTCGAATAGCTGGCGGTTACAGGGTAGGTGCTAAATAGACAGCGTCCAAAGTTTTGGGATCCCGGACGCTCGCAAATCCCAAAGTTTTTACTGTCTTGTCTCGCAAGTTGCTGAATATCATGCAATCCAAAAACAATTACACATTCTATTTGCACCTCTAGACATGGCCTTACGCGCTGGAGCTCTTCATGCTAGCGGTCAACGCGGTGCTGCTAGGAGTGTCGTACCCAGCGCCGGACAACGTGACCAAGTACTTGCCTTTCATCGCAAATTCATTCTACGCAGCATTCTCTCTGGTGCGCCAAAACAGGATGACCAAACTCGGATCGTGAGGATGCATGTTCGGTATCCCTGTCCCAAAGCAGCCCATAAACCTGAACAGCATGGATATATCGAACCCTCGGCTGTATCTAATGATGTCTGACTGTCTAAAATGTGAACGCGGATTATAAAGCAGGATGGACGACCCAAGAGCCATGAGTGCATCCTCACGGGGCTGTAGCCCATCAATCAATTACGCGTGTTCACTTTCTCCTTCCGCCTTCGTACCACCTATCAGCCAGATATCGCCCTCTCCATCATCATTATCATCATCATCATCATCACTCCCAGGTCCCCCAATCCCCAACTCTCGCTCCCCTCCCCTCCCTCTCCTTCCCCCTTTCCAGGCCTCCATCATCTTGACCACACCCTTCACGTTACAGTACGCAAGGGAATTCGTACCTGCCTCGGCAGCCATGCACGACCGATTGGTTCGTGCCGCCTACGTCACAGCCGCCGTGTGGAGCCTTACTTTCGTCACCAACACCCTCGTCTTCTTGGTGAGCTCGTATCTAACCGGAATTCCCAGCTAAGTATGTATGTCGGTGGAGGTGTGGTGGTTTTACTTAGCAGAGGGCGGGAAGGTCCCAGTTGATCGGTCATGGGACCGGGGATGGGAGCTGCAAGGGAGCAGATTGCTGCCGCAGTTCATTTCTGAGTTTCTCGCATCATACGATGATCCCCCCTCCCCCCCTCCCCCCTTCCGCCCGCCCGCCCGCCATGTCCTCAACCGCCGTCCGTCTCAATTCCTCGGGTTTGTCTGTATGTACCTGCGCGTGTGTGTATGTACGCGTGTATGTGTGTACACGCATGCACATGTGTGTATGTATGTGATGCTACGGGATCTGGTTGGCTTGACCAGGTGCCTATCTGCCGGGGTCGCGATGCCGACCACGGTGACGTCCTCAACCTGGTGTTCCGCATCATCTTGCCGACCTTCCTGGGGCTCTTCGCCGCCCTCTTTACCCGGCTGTGGCCGCTGAGGGTGATGCGGCACCTCGCGAAGTCAGTGGGGTTCGACGGCGCATACCAGAAGGTGCTGGTCAACCCGCTGGCGTTGATGGGCGTGGGAATGCCGCCGCCGCCGCCACCGCCGCTGCCGCCGCCGGCCCCGGGGCCTTATGTGGGGGGGCTCCCACCACAGCCGCTACGGATGTAGGCTGATGTGCGATCTGGGGTTGGGGCCGGTGGCAGCGAGAGGGGAGGAAGGGGCGGGAAGGGGGGGAAAGATGAACCACGAGCGAGTGAAGCTGATGCCGGAGGAAGGTGGGGAAGGGGAGAGCTTCCGGTAGTGCGGTGCGGGGTGGTTGGGCAGTGGTGGTGGAGGGGGGTGGGGGAGCAGTTTGAACTGCCGTATTTGCTGCACCACCACTGCGGCGGGAGGGAGGAGAGGAGCAGGAGGCGCAACAGGGGGAGCGGGAGGACGGGGCGACGGGCAAAAAGGAGCCGAGCTGCAGCGGCAGCGGGGGCAGGAGCAGCAGAGGAGGAACCAGCGGCGAAGCGAGCAGGTGAAATACTCTGCTGCCCGCAAACGTCGTGGCAAGTACCGGACCCCCCTCCCCGCCGCTGCCGGAGCCGCCGCCGCCACAGCGGCAGCGGCAGCACTGGCAACACACCGCTGTTGTGTGGCGCCTAAGGGTTAAACGTCACGATGAGGGGGGACTATTGAGTTCATACCGATACATCAACAGAGGAACGGGCCCCAGTCTCTTACCTTGTTTGTGGGAACCTGAACACAATGGGATGGTGGGTGGGTGGAGACCTCCACCCACGCGCCCACCAGCATAAGGAGTGACACACACACATACACACACACATACACACACACACACACAGACAGTGCCCCGGGGGGGAGTTGTTCCTCGGAGGCGGGAGAAGCATCTCATCGTTGCAACCGAGGGGGCTTATACTGCCGTACAGCACCCGCGTGCAGTACTATATTTGAGTCCGATGTGTGTATATACGCATGTATATATGTATGTATATATACATTTGTACGTAGGTGCGTGTGTGCGCATGCGTGGCCTTGGCTCCAGGCACCCAGCTGCGGCGCCGGATGGCGTGGAAAGGGAGTGAGCAGCCTAGGCATTCATCATGGCACGGCACGGCACGACACGGCACGGCACGGCAGGGATGTTTATGCTGGCTGGTGAGGTACCTGTGGCGCTATGCACTGTGTATGTATTGGGTAACGGTTACCGGTGGAGTAAGTTGCGTAGCGGGCGGACTGGCCCTGGAAAAAGGGCCTTACAGTAAGGGAGGTGAAGAGGGCGGGAGGGTACCTTGGGGTGCTGCGGACGTCACGCACATTTTTGAGCGTGGGCGCCATGAGGCCCATCATCACCCTGTCGTTATTGTTTTAGGAGGAGAAGACCTGGGTCTCATGTATGCGGGGGTGGGTGTATGAGCGCGGATGTTGGCGCGATTGTGGATGAATGGTAGGGGCCTTTTCAGATCCTTCTTCCTTATAATTCCCGCTGTAACACGCGGAACTTGTGTGTGTGTGTATATGTGTGTGTATATGTGTGTGTATGTGTGCTTTATCTGAGCTGCGAAAAGTACATACAGGCCCACATGAATCACATGCAGAACTTTACCGAAGGCAAGTAGTCCAATAATGAAGTAGTTGGAACAGCTGGAATATTTTGAAGATGTTAATAGGGTGTGTGTATCATCCGCGGGAGCGTGCTTTGGTGGAAACAGTGGCGGACTGCTTAAATGGGCAACTTTGATCGATGTTTTCCGGTGTCCATAAGTGGGACGGGTGGGAGTCGGGTTTGGAAAGATTGTGACGTGGCCTCCCACGGCGAATGGGTTTCTACCAATCCCGGTAGCTCGGACAAATGGAAGTGGAATGTGATGTGAGGGGTTGGTTAGCGTGTTGACCCTTCAGCTGGAAGACGCCTTGCGCAACAATCTCAGGAGAAGACTTCCGGTCAACTCATGCTCGAGGAATACAGCCTGCACGACGCATGGTAAACGTGGACGAAGCAGTTTGGGCTTTTATGTCAACACAGTGCAAAGAGGCTCAAGGGTACTCCTAGGTACCTTCCGGCGGAAGGCTCAAATTTCCCGCGACGGCTTAGCATGCCGTTAGGCCTACCTTTAATTACAAAATACAGAGCGTATTGGAGATGCCAAGCGTGTAATGAAATCGAATGGAAAATGGATTCTACGAAAAAGGTTGGTCTCGGAGCAGAGTTCGGCATGAAGTCGTTTGTTTTGTTGTTATAACGCCATGCCGGCATTCTGTGGGCCTGTGTACAGAGGATAGTCCCAGGGTTTTCGCCATCGTAAGCTTAACAATCTCTTCGAGAACTTACCCTTTCTTCTTTAGGTTCTATCCACGGAAAGTGCTTATTATCAGATTGATTACCTTCTGCATTTGTTTTATCTTGGACTATACTGGTCATAAGTCTTGCAACACGAGCAACAGAAGAAGATACCCTGAGGAACATGCCTGAGGGTCAGGAGGACCACGGCGTGGACGTCGTGCGAACACGACAAGTAAGATCAAAAGCAAGCGCCAAAGGACGGGTGATATCTTTGGTAGCTGAAAGCTTGCTACTCCACCTGCACTTTCCGCGTTGTCAGCAACCTGGAGCTGGAACAAGCAGAGCATCGTCAGGTAACTAGGACAGGCGTCTCCACACGTGCTTGCTTAGCGTAATATCGACGCTATCATGCTCAGCACGCCACCTTCGGCTTAACGCAGTCAGGGGTAACGCAGCGACGCAGGTGAGGCGACGTATGGCTGCAAGGAAGTCTGTTCAACGGCAGCCACCGCCAGCGCCTCAGCGACAGGTAATCAATGACGACACGTTAACCCACCTGGGTCTTTTCCGGGCACCTCAAGAGTCCCGACTTCCGCCACGGTTTACAGGATGTCATCGACTTGACAGACGACCGTCAGGAAGATGATGATGACCTTGTACAGATCACTCATGTTAAGATCAACAAACGCCCCAGGTTACGGGCTCCTACACCCGGGGGGCCGGAAGCTGTGGCCCAGGTTCTAGTGGCCGGTGCAGTCCCACCACAGCCCGGGCTGGCCGCCGCGCCGGGCCTGCCTATGCTGCAGCAGTTGGAAAGCCCCGCCCTGCAGCAGTTGCTAGCGAATCCGCAGCTGCTGGCTGCTGCTGCCGCTGCTGCTGCTGCCGCTGCCCCGCCGGTGGCAGCCGCCCCACCAGCCCCTCCCCCGGCCCCGCCGAGCCCTAAGGGCTACAAATGCACCATCTGCCTGGAGCGCATGGAGGCTGACCTCGCCACCACGACCTGCGGGTAGGCGAATAACCTCTCCGGATTTGACGCACCGACACCAGCAGCACCAACAGCTTATGGGATCTTGATTTCCTGGCTATCCCTCTACCCTTGGTAGCGTATGATGGTAATTGCGGACGAAATTTGTACTCAGCTGCTTCTTGCTCTGGTTGGATTGCCTTCCTGCATCTTGCTGTTGCTATTGAGAAACGATGAAGCCGCATATGCTGGACCGACGGATGGACGGACGGACGGACGGACGGACGTGACCGGGTCGCCCTCTTGACGACTCTTGCCCTCTGCGCTGTGCTGTGGTGTGCTGTGCTGTGCTGCAGGCACATGTTCTGCTTCAAGTGCATCAGCTCCTGGGTCCAGAAGAGCGGCAACGTAAGGGCAAAGCTTGGAGAAGGGCTTTCTGGCTTTCCGGGGGGCGATCTGAAGGGGATTTCTGTGCTGCGGCGGGTGTATGTTCCTGTCGGTAGGAGCATAAAAACTACAGACTGACACTCAGACTTCTTGGGGGCCGTTTTTTATAAATGAGGAATCGATGCCCCTGCACACATGCGCCTGCACACAAGTCCTCGGCGGCAACCCCCTTTTTTTCGGACAGCAAGTAATTGGCACATGCGTGCATTGCATTGCGCGGGGATCGTTCCTTCGAAAGATGGCGCCAGAGTAAGACTGCGCTGTGTGCTTGTATTGCTTGCTTTCTCGGGAAATTTCCACAAGGAAATGCATATGGATTAATTTGGCCTAAACTTTATAAACGCGGTAAGAGAGAGTAACTGCTTGTTTGGTCCCCTCGCTCTCTCTCTCGTCTGTGCTTTCACAGTGCCCTCAGTGTCGCTCTAAGCTGACCAGGACAAAAATCATCCGCATCTACCCGCCATCGTAAGGCTGCGACCAACGCTTGGTCAAGCTCATCCCTGCCGTTGCTGCTGCTGCTGCTGTTACTGCGGCACCGGCGGCTTGTGGACTGCGTATCGCTGGTGGAGGCGTGCGCCTGGGGGTTCTTCAACGTGTGTGCCAGCAGAGAGGGGCAGAGAGGGGCTCGGTAGCTGTTGTTTCTGAGTCCCCACCAACACCACCACCACCACCACGTCTTCCCGCTGGCGCTCTCTCGGTCGGCAGTTGCGACTATGTTATAGACTCTGGCGCAGCAACTGGTGCCGGCGTGGCTCTGCTGCTGCTGCTGCTGCCGGCCGAAAGTGCTGAAAGGAAAGCGAGGGCCGCGACTCTTTCTCTAGGGCGGGGATATGAAGGGCGGGGCCCTCTCGCAGTCGCGGACAGCAGCGCTGCCAGCCTGTCACGCATTTGCGAGGGTGTATTAGCTCTCGAGGCTTAATGCAAGGAGTATAGAAGGAGTGCCTGCTGGTTCTGTTTATGAGCTGAGGGCCGGAGGGGGGACATGGAACCAATGGGGGCAAGCGTACTGGCTGACGGACTGTGACCGACTGTGACCGACTGACCGACTGCCTATCACCGACCCCTCCACAGTGGGGTAGGTGCACCCAGGGGGGATTCCGAGGGGTTTGTCCGACTGTTGTGCATCCATCCGGGGGTAACGAACGGTTTGTGTAAACTAAGCATAGTATCAAGAACTGGAATGCCACACTTCGAAATGCACAATGTTTCCGTCCGTTTGAAGGACGGGGACAGGGACAGCATCAGCCCTGTGTCATTGCTGCGGCCTCCCGCCAGCCGGTCGAGCGCCAGGATGGGGCGGAGGGAGGGTGTGTAAGTCTGGTTTGTATAGGGGGAGTTGTATGGGGCCGGCGGCCCCGGAAGTGCTCGGGGCTCGAGCCGTCGCATTCGTTTTTCCACCACCCGCACGAGCAGGGCCGTTTCAAGTGCTGGGGGGGAAGCGGGGCAGGTGCTCGGACTGATGTATGTAAGGGATTGGTTGGCTGCAGCACAGCCACGTGCAGTTCATTGAGGTGATTTTGGGTTGTGCGCTCCAGATGTTGACTGCAAAAGGCCCTTTCTACTAATGCAGGCGGGCCTGGTAGGTTTGGTGGGCGCCTGGGAATTGGCGTCATATGAAGGCGTCTAGGCGTAGCAGTAATAGACAGCAATCGAAAAGTGGCCCCAAGTGCGGGTCGCGAAAAGCTGCGATGTATGTCTTGTGTATTGTGCGCGAAGAGGCATATTCGCCTTGCTGCCGTGTCTGGAGACAGCGTGTACATCTATATGCAAAGCCATTGTATATCCATATCCATATACATCTGTTGGAAAATAGCGTTATAAGAGGCGCACCGGATTGCCTGCTCTGGTCGTTCGTTAGGGTGGTTGTATCCTGGTACGTCACCAGGATCAGCCATGAGCGCCTCATCATAGTTCTGAGGGCTGAAGTAAGTTCTCTGTCTCTCTCTCCTTCTCTTGTGTGCGATTTGCATGAATGGTTTGTTCTACTGGAAGAATCATTATATCTCTTAACAACAATATTCATACATACGATTATTGAAAGGTTCAGCAGCCTGCCACAGCCCCGTATTTGCCTCACATTGCTCAGGTCTATCTACCTATCTATTTGTCTACCTGGCCAACCGGATGAATGCAGGAGCCGGCGGACTGAGGTGGGGTCCGTGCCGAAAAAAAACATATTGTGAACGTTCATAGTGTGAACACCACCCACTACACCGCGCGTTCAATCAATACTTCCCCCCGTGCTTCCCTCCCACAACGCGGGGGGAAACGCATCCCGCTCCCCAGCACCGCACTGCAGAGCTTCCTCCTCTTAGACGGTATATCAAACGAACACCAAGCACGTATCAGTATATGGCTATACACACGAAGGGAGAGGGCAACATGCGGCCAAAAGCTCCACCCCTCAACATTATGAAACCGGGGCCCCAGGCGCGGGGGACCACCCGTGCAGAGACGCAGCGCACTTGGCTCGTGCCCCCGAAGGCAACCAAAGGATACCTGGACACCGTCCTCCACCCAACATAGAGCCGGAGCCTGAGCCAGAGGCCGATGATACCTCCTGGAAGGGCACCCGGTCATGCCAGGAACATTGCGGTGGCGGTGGAGGCGCCCGTTGCAGTGGCGCTGCAGAGGGTGGTGCATAATATTGAAGTGCTTTACGAGAGCGCTCCCGCCGCACAGCTGCACAGCCAACGCACCGTTGCGATAGGGCTGAGGTGAGGTGGACAGGAGCCCGAGCAGCGCCGAAGGACTCTATCCCGGTTGCACAGGACTTAGTCTCGTCCCGACCGGACCCGACCCAATCCAATCCAAATCGACGAAAAGCACAAAAAACACAGACGAGGTCAGAAACCGGAGATTAGAATACTTAGCGAGCTGAACGCATATCCGCCTTTTCCTTCCATCATTTCGTCTCTCCCAACCCGCGTCCCGGCGAGAATGGAAAAAAGCTGGAGACGGCCGTCCAGCGCCACATACACACACACTCGCAGCACCTGCGACAAACGTCTGCTCTGCTAACGCTAAAGCACGATATCCACTACGCTACCGCTAATCGCTAACTGTCAGGAATCATCCACCGGCCATTTTGCGCTGCGGTTCCAGGCTGTGGCCCATTTTCGACCTCTGTGAATATTCGCACCACCACCCTAAAACCAACAACCGGACGCTTGCAGCGCCCATCATGCTTCGGAACCAGCACCGATTGCGGCTATGGGAGCGACCAAAGAACAACAAACACTCTACACACCACCTCGCCGCATGTTACAGGGTATGTATGTGATGATGGTGAAGATGCTGGGGAGGCTGGACCCCGACTCCCGACCGGACGGAAAGGAAGCGGCGGCGGGAAGGGGTTAAATCGGTTAAATCACTGTACAGGCAAACCAAAAGAGAGCTTTTGTGCTCCATTACTTGCGATTCACCATCATGATGCGCAACAACGCGCGCGACATGGGGGTCTCAGAAGCCCCACATGGTGGCTGGTGTGCTCTCACGGGGGGGGGGGGGGAGGAGGGGAGGGGGGGCGACTCAGGACGAAGCGATGGATGCTATGCGGCAGCAATCCTAAAAGTCCCCACCGGGGGCGTCATCGCTGCAGAGCATGCAAAGCGGTTTCCTTGGCCTCAGCCTCACTCTGCCTGGTACTGCCCGCACCGAGTGAGCAGTGAGCCAGATCCCTCCTGGCACATGACAGGCCAGGCCACATATCGCCACATATCGCTAACCTCCTCTCGGTAAGATTAGACACATTGTACAGTAGACCGTAGTGCACCCCTTTGCGGGGGCCTAGGATATCCTCACAGCAACATCACAAGATCCCATGTTACCCAGGGGTAACCAGTCCTCCTCGGAGTCCTCCTCGTTGTTCCCGCAAACTCCAGCATCGCGCCGCCGCACCCCAAGTCCCAAACCCCCTGCACACGACTTGCCTGTAACGGCAATCCCTGATCCCCTCCCGTACATTGGCGAACGAGCCGAAGGTCTACGAACGAAAGCCCCGAGCGCGCGGAGGCCCCCGCGATAACGACCCGAGAATGGAATGGGCATCTAATCCCATATACATACATACATACATGCAACAAAGTTAATTCCATCCAGTGCTGAAGCTGAGAATGCGACTCGCGACGACTAAATCCTTCACCTTTCTCGACGTCCACCGTTTCCCCCTTCCTCCATCCCCCGCCCCCTCTCCCCCCCCCCCAACCCGCCCCGGGGAGCAAGCGGAACCTGAACGCGGGACGCAAACACTCCCTCCTCGGTTACTTGTTGCCGCAACCCGGAGTGCTCTGCCCGCCGCGGACTGCTGCCACGTTACTCCCACGACACCCTCAACAGCGGCGCAGCGATACCGACCTGCCCCGAGTGCACAGCACCTGCCAGCCGAGCACACGTCGTATGGAGGAACACCTAAACACCTTCCATCTTGCTCTCTTCGCCCACCTAATTTTCGTGGCGATTTTTTTATCAAGCACCCTTCACATCCTTCGCGCCGAAATCACTGTCGTCGTTCAGCTGTGCGGCCCTCCTCCTTTCCGGATGGAGCTGGAGCTGGACCGCACGTCCAGAATACACAGAGCCCGGGCCGCCTCACAGGAACACACCTCCACACACCACCAGTAGCAGCCATCCGCTCGCTCGCCAGCTCAAGAAGGATACACACAACCTTCCATCTGGTCGCTATGACTGCCATTGTCATCCGCGGGCATCCGAGCCACAGAGCCGCAGCCTTCTCACGGGCGCGCGCGTACGGGTGTGCGTGTGCGTGTGTGAACTCCTCTGACTATGTGTGTGTATGGGGGGGAGAAGGTTCAAGGCGGGGAAACAAGGCGCAAACCCCGCATGGCGGTCGCGGTGACAAGGTCATGAGGATGCTACTGGTGATACGACTGTGCGCCGGTAGTCGGGGAATGATCAGGCGACATGCAGCTTTGGGGCGGCGAGCAGGACCGCACTCGCACCCGCACCCGCACTCTCTTCGGTGATGCGGTGTGGCGCCACGCAGCAGCTAATGCGGCTACACTGGCCCCTGCAGGTCGTCATCTTCATCGTCGCCACCCTCCAGGTCGTCATCACCCTCCTCAGAGGAAGACCCGCTCACCACCACATCCATCATCACGTCAGAGAAAGGGCCGCCTCCCCGCTGCCGCCGCGAGCCGGCCGGGGGCGGCGGGAAGTCGTCGTGCTCGAGCAGCGTGGACAGCGGCGGGGGCTTCTGCCTCGAGGGCGGCCGGGCCGAGGCACCTGTCCTGTCCTCGCCCACGGGACCTGTGGAAACGGCGCCCGATGTCATGGAAGTCAGGAAGTCAGGAAAGGCCGCAGCCCAGTTAGTGGTCGCATGTGTTGCAATGTCAGCCATGTCCGTGAAGGAGGGGGTCTTACTCTACTTATTAACCTTACACAGGTGGCTCCACCGTTAAAAGAGAGCTCGAGAACCCTATAAATTACTAAAACCGAGTGACACACATACATACATGCACACATAAGAGAGCTGCTGCTAGGGAAGCTGCTGCCATGGAAAGGAGAACAACGGCGGAAGAGAGGAATCTCTCCGGACCCCACACAGTGCGCAGGAGTATAGGGCGGCCAAGGGGCGAAGGGCACACACTGCTGTTGTTGCCAATCCGCCGTCGTCCCATCCCATCCCATCCCATCCACCCGATGCCGGCCGGCTTGTCGCACCAGAAGCTCCCCCCCCCCACCTCCCCTTCCACCTAACCTTGCGCCTTGACGCTGGGCCCCGATATGGGCCGTGTGCCGCGATACGTGGTGGGCGCTGCACTTTGCGGTCGGGCCCCCAGAGGCCGCCCGCCGCCGCCCGGCCGCCCCATCAGCCCCGCCCCCGACGCCAACATGCCCATCTGCTGCTCCGGAGTCCACAGGTGCAGCGCTTCTGGCGGCGGCTTTTGGCGGCTAGGCGGCCGCTGCAGCTGCATGGCGATGTTGGCTTGCCACACCGAGGGGTCCAGCTCGATTTCCCCGCGGCACCCCGGCGGCCGGGCGCTCTGCACCTGGCGAGTGGGGGGCCGCGCCAGGCCCTGGGCTTCGGCGGCCAGAAGACGGGCCTCGGGCGGCAGGGCCATCGCCAGTAGCGGGGCTCCGGAACCACAGCCGCCGCTGCCGCCGCCGCTGCCGCTGCTGCTGCTGCCGGCAGCGTGTGCGGCTGCTTCCGACTGTTTGGCAGTTAGGGAGTGGCAGGAAACCGATAAGCGATAAGTGGTCGCAGGACGGGGTGGTGGTGGTGGTGGTGCTGGGGGCTCTTCTGTGCAGGAGGGGCCTTGGAAGACCGACCAGGCAGGGGTTCCCCGAGTTGTACGGCCCTCTGGAGCGCTACCACTTGAATGCGCCAAGCATGAGGACCGCCCCGCTGCGGTGCAGGCACATGTGTATGTACGTATATATATACACACATACGTATACGTATACACACCCCTCACTTTCTCTTTCAGCCACCGCCACCACCACTGCCCTCACCACCGGAATTACAAAACTACCAGCTTTCCTAGTCATTCATACCTTGACGTGCTGATGTGGTTTGGCCCACTTAACACCCGATGCTGGCCGGCCCGCCACTGCCCCTGCCGCGGCGGCGGCGGCGCCAGTCGCCCCCGGGCTGACGATGCCGCCGTCTCCGCCAGCTCCGTTGCCTCCCGCCGCCGCCACCGCAGCCGCAATCGCACCCGGGCGCCCCCGGCTACTCAGCGGCCTCGCCGCCAGGGCCTGTAGGCTACTCGACCCGGTCGCGGCGTCCCCCGCCTGGCCGCCTCCAAAGGCGCCCTCCCTGGCGCTGATCCCCCACGGCGGCGGAATCGCTGACATGGACGTCTTCGGAGAGATCATCACAACCTTCTGAAACCCGCCGCCGCCGCCGCCGCCGCTGCCGCTGCCTGGGCTCGGGAGTGCCGTGGAGATGTACGGGTGGTCGCCGCTGGATGGGCCCGTGGCGCGAAGGAGGGAGGTGACGGCAGTGGCGGCACCGCCGCCGCCGCCGCTGGCGGCCGCTGCAGCGGCTGCCGCCGCCGCCGCCATGCGGCGGT